TGTGGGGGATAGGTGGGGTGGTGTCTGAAAACAAACTTATTCAACTTCTTGTGGAAACAGAACGTAGTTGTTGTGAATACCTAGCTCCACCACAAGTTCCAGAGTTGCTGGTTGCTTCCTGAAAGGAAGGGTCCCTGAAAAAACGTGGCACGCTGAGTTGTTTTTGGGGGAACACTTTTTGGGTCCCACACTAATTTGCGTAGGGTTCAAAATGGAGCTGCTTTAAGAAAAACAAAAGGAGACCAGCCATTTGAACTGACTAGCTTAGCCAAGGGCAAGTCTTTGGGCCTCTCTATCCACCACACACAGCGATTCAAACAGATTCTGAGAGAGAAAAAGCTTTGGTTGAGTCTTCTTAGCTGCCATACTTGGCGGCTATCACCCGTGCATACAGCTTTATTTGTTGGTTGGTGGAAAATAAACACAGAAAAGCCACAGACTCTCCCAATGTTGAAACATTGCCCCATAGTTTGGTCAAGGGCGCTGGCAGACGCCCGTCCTTTCTCGGGCTGCAAGCCCGCGTCCACCAGAGGACCCCGGACACTGCAAGCTGGGAAGCTCAGCTGCTGACACGTCCAGTGTCCGTCCTCGCAATCGAAGCCGACTTTTTAAAAGGAGATAAAAGATCACCCAAGGGAAACTTACCAGCAGGCTTAGCTAAAGGGGAAGATAGGGAACACTCTTTTGGATTAACAAACGAGCACAGGAAACCAAAAGCCATTCTGGGGGTTGCCTCCCCAGAAAGAGTTGTCCTGAAGAAACACAGTCGACCGGGGGGCTTTCGGGTTTGGACAAACTACTGAGAAACAACGCAACGCCTGGAAAGACCGGCCCTTTTTTAAAGAACCCTGCGCCACATACGGATGGGATTCAGCTAAAATGTTTTTTTGGGGAAGTGGGTGCGAATCAAAGGAAAAGGTAGGGGCCGAATGATTGGGCTTCTCTTGAAGTGATTCCCTGTCTAGTGGATTGACCGGAAGACCTCGAAGATCAGGGCCACCTTGTCAAGCCTTCTGCGCACACATGGAGGCGGGCGCAAAATTGAAACCTGAAGAATTTGGGGCCATGTCTAAAAGAAACCCAAAAATGGGGAATTCTCCAAAAAGGGGGGTTCAGGGATCGGTGAAGGCACATGCCTCTACAAGTGGGCGACCTCTGTGAAAGGGCAATAAAACATGCATAATCAATCCCAAAGTGGTCCGAATTTCGTGAACTGGCCAGCACGCGCACGAGCGAAGCGCGCGGTCGCGCGGCGTGCACGCACTCATGCGCACGCCCGCACGGCCGTCCTGCATTTCCAGAAACATAGACTGGCCGTTCTGCATCAGTAAGATTGCTGCACATTGCAGGCTTTCAGGTGCAAAGCACATCCAAGAACTCTCGTGCAATTTCATATGGCCGGGACCCGAAACAAAAAGGAAATAATGATGAGCTCCTGCTTGGGGCAAACAGGTTTCTTACCGTCTTAGTAGTGGTCTTTCTTCAGACTTCCAGTTTGCGCCAGGGGCTGGTCTGGAGCACAGGCCAAAAGCCGCTTCACTTTGTAATTCCTTTCAATCCACGCTGCCGGGGAAAGGTCACAGTTGAATCAATAGACTCCCAAGCTAGGCACAGATTCGGCTGGCTGTTTGACAGGGCTTCTTGCGGGTTTTGACATGACAAAAATCGTTTCACAAGGGCCCACCTACAACTTTCCAGCCCTGCTTTGAAGGGGGTGACAACTCCGACGGGGTACAGGGCCCGACAAGCCCGACACAGCCTTCAAACCTCTAACCTCCCAAGTTTTTTTTGTCTGAGTCACAGATTCAAAAGAAAAGGCTCCTCACCCTGGCCATTGAGTGTTTGCCCTGCCTCCGGCCGCGGTCACACGTCAAGATCGATGGCCCCGTCGCACGAGGTCAGCGCCTGCGACGACTTGTCTGAAGGCAGAATTGTGGGGCCAATGGTCTCATTAGCGCATCAACGCAGTGCAGCTGAATAACTCGCTAGATTAGAGTTGCAAGTTGAAACAACTTGCTTGACGAAAGCTGGCTGAGTAATGGAAAGAGCCGGCCTTGAAGACAGCGCAGCCTCGACCCCGTGAAGACACCAAGCTTCCAGGGCTCCTGGCACAAGCTACATTTTAAATTGTTTTCCTTCTTGAAGCTAATTCAGGTCAATGCAATCACTTGTGCGCACACTGGGACACCAATAGCTCACCACCCCTCAACCCTTGCTGCAATGTCTCACTGGCTAACCCAAACCACTCACCCCATTTCCACAAGACAGTCTCAGTCCTTGTCAAGGCAGGCTTGTTCACGGTGACAGGCGCCGTTGCATCCATGCTCTCTGTGCTGCCCTGCAACGGGACCATAACGGAGTCCTGACTGGCGCACAGGACCATGTCCTCCGCTTCGTGCTCGACAATGACCTTGTCCTGCACGACCATGATGTCCCCGCCGGGGACAGCATCCGAAGCTTTGTGGGCAAAGGAGTCATGGAGGGGCTTCCTGACCTTCGGCTTGGGCGTGCACGTGAGGGAACCCTTGTTCTTCGACGCGTGCGACGTCTCCTCGCGCTTGCGTTTCAGCATCTCGCACTGGACAGAGCGTGGGATTGGGGTGGCCAGGCATTTGGCAATGCCTGGCCAACCAGGATCCTCATCGAAAGAGGACTGGCCGTTCGTTTTGAGCTTGTCCTCAGAAAGCCGAGCGCGCAATGCCAATGGATGCCATAATGTGGTGTGGCGTTTGCGCACGACAAATGGCAGTTCATAGACTGTGGCATCACATTTTGCTTAATGATACTAAATTGGACGGCATCTGGCACCAAAGGAGAAAAACATGCGGGAAAAGCCCGACCAAATACAAGACTAAGCATCGATGTCAGCCAGGGCTTTGTGCTTGGCGTCCTTCACAGATGGGATGCGGGCGGCGATCTCCAAGAGCGAGGTGCAGCGGTCCTCCTGCCCCAGCGTGGCCTCTTCCATGGCATAAGCCAAAGCGACCGCCATGCCAAAGGCATGCGGGTAGTTGCAGCTCCAAGTGGTGAACTCGTTCGAGGTGACCCACCTGACTGGAACAAGCACGCGTGAACAAGGCCGTGTTAAGAACCTCTACTCATAGCACGTCGACAAACAAGCAAGTAGCTCGGAATCTATTGTACACTGCTGGCCACGCAATGATTGTCATTTGGGCAGAGCTGCCTGGTGACATGTGGATTGATTAAGTTTGAGAGCAAAAGGGTTGCAAGGTAAAGCACTTGGCCTGCCAGATTGCTTGCTCAGCTTGCACTCGTACACCCGGGGTGGCAGGGTGCGGCAAAGCTCCTGGTAGATAACCAAAAGGTTGTCCAGGCCACGCCAAGTGCCGCGGAAGACAAGAACTTTACTGGAGACGCCTCCAAACAACCCAATGTCCAGAGAGATGGACCTTGCACCTACAAGGTGCTTCTCGAATGCTGGCCAACGCCACATGGTAGAACTGCGTGGCTGCTCCAGGACCCACTCTAGGCCGAACATCACGCACAGCGGCAAAATGATTTCGCACAGGCACCTCACTTGCCCAAATGACAGGGCAACGAGAAGGTGTGTGACCCTTACTAAAAACTTGCGAAGCCAAAAGCCCAAAAGGTATTGGGAAACTGAGGCACTCAATCGTAGCGTTACCGGCTACCACCCGGGCAGAGGCTCCGTTGCCGTGAATGTCCTGGAGAGAGCGTGCAGAATGGACACAACCGCATGAACCAGCAACATAAACGACAAGAGGCAGTTTCAAACACAAGGCGCTGCAAAAACAACACCAGCAGAATGTGAAACACCAGCAAGGGAGTTGACAGCGTCGCAGGACAGGAGGCTACAAATAAGCTGGCCAAAATGATTTGCTGACTCTGTCAAGCATCCAGACCGCGCAAGGTGCTGCCACGGCTCAACCAAATCCACGTCGCACAGTTCGGGGTGAGGATGACGAGCTTCTTGCATCGACTGATGAGCTTAATGGCAATCACCAGGCCAGAGCGCACGTGAATGTTGTGGGCTTGGTTGATGCCTTGGATTGCGAAGCAGGCAGAAGCTGGAAGCCTGTGAGGCCAAAAATGGGTGCCAGGACCCAAGGACAAGACATAAACAAACAACAACAGCAAACGTATATGCTCAAAGGCAAAGATGCGGCAATCGAATGCCCGCCCGGTCCGACCAGCGGAGACAAAGCCTCGGACAATGCTCTCCGAGCCGCCGAACAGCTCGACAACGTCCAAGTCCGGTTGGCCAAGTTCCCGCCTGGTTTCCCACGCAAGCTTCTCCGCCTCGCACCACTCCATGGCCGGTCGTGGGACGACTTTCAGCATGGCTTCGCTCTGGTTCCCGTTTTCCAAAACTGAGCCAAAACCGGCATGAAAGACCGATGAATCTGTTGAGTGCGCATGTGAGGAAAGAATGGGGAATCAACCCTTAGAACTAAAGCAAACATGTTGGCATGTTCTCAAGAAAGCAGTTGGTGTGTGTGTGTGTGCGTTTCTTTTGGACACCTTTTGGAGGGTATGCCAGGATGTCACCTTGATGGACTGAGTGCAGACCGCCACACTCAGAGATCCAGTACGCGTGCAAAGCAAGAAGGAGCACTTGGAACGAATTATGTAACAAATTATGTATAATATATGATGGGAAGGGCAAAGGAAGTGGGTCATGTTTTGTATGGTCCCCACCTCCCACTCTTCATAATTCGCCATTGCCCCAAAGACCATACTTTGCAGCGATATCAAGAGCTCGTCCAAAAAGTGTTGTGGGCTCAGGGGAAGGACATGGGTGGGACTGACAGTTTTGGCCAAGTTGATGCGTAGCAATCATGGGGTGATCAAAAGCAACATAAAGGTTAGCCTCTATGCTGGACCAACAAATTTGAACACATCTTACATCATTGCCCTGGGTTTGGGGGTTAAAGGTTGACCATGAATTGTCATGTGCTCAGACTCTCGTACACTTCCATTCGCAAATTGGGTTGCAAGTTGGACAGGGAAGACCCAAGGCCTGTCCTTGGCGGCGTGCTCATCGGCATCTCCATGTCGGGGCGCCGATTCTACTTGTGAGTTATCACCGAGGTTTAGAAGTCAATAAGTTTGACTGCCAACTAGGCTTCCCTTTGGAATCCAAAAGAAGCTGAATCCTCAAACATCGCACTTTCTGAGTTCTTGGACTGTAGCCAGTTGCTGGAAAAGGACGTGGTTGGCCAATCCACTCAAGTGAGGATGGGGGAACCGCGACAATCAAGTGGTTTCTTGACTGGAATCCTTTTGTTACTAATCAACATAAGACCCAGACGAGCAAAGGCGTTCTATCGGTTTTGCAGGTGATCAGTTTTGGGTAGTCCCCCATCGGTTTGTGATGCCGGGTATTCATGTGAGCAGAGGTCGTGGGTTTGTTTCGTAATGTGGGAACCAACATGGGTTGTCTTGGTTTCCTCGCAAAGCAACCGCAAAAAGTGGTTTCCTCAAAAAGTCAAGTACGCACCCACCCAAAGCCCCAATACTAACCGGATCCAACGTTGTGTGCTTCCAATGGTGATGGATTTCAAGTTCAAGTTCCAGCAGTTTAGCCCTTTACTTGTCCCTTTGGGCTTGTGGGGTTTATGTCGGCTTAAAGCATCGCTCTCGTGGCCCAGTCCTGTCTTCTGTCGCCTGGTCCAGACGCAGCATGAGGCGGGCTCCGGGCTAGCCAGGCACGCATGAGAAAGCATCCAGCCCAGTGGCACCCTTTGCCTTTGAGTCCGCTGCCCTTTGAATACGGCGCCAGGAAGCGCCCTTGTGAACCACGGGCTCGGCTGAGAACATCCACACGCCTTGAGTCGAGGTTGGACTTGTTCAGTAGAGCAGCCAGGCCTGGCTTTGGCAAACATGTGGTTTTTGTAGTCGGTTCCTTCTTGGGCCAAGACAAGCACAGAGTGGGCCTTGGATCGCAAAATAATATTTGAAACATATTGGAGGCTTTCTTGAGAAGGGTTTTCAAGAGGCTTCAGCGTTGATCTTTCACGGGGCGTTTATCCCATCCGCGACGAGAGCTTCGCCGCGATCAAGCACTTGTATCCCCACCACGGTGAAGCTCACGAAGCCATACAGCTGCCCGGGAATTCTTCGCAGACTGGTGCGAGCTGGTGACAGCCGACTCCAGGTGGGAAACGAAGGGCTTTGGAGGAATAGCCTCAGCGCTGAGTGGTTTCGGCCGAGTCAACTTCTCGGGTCAGCCTTAGATAGGATCTTCTTGTGCTGAAGCCCCCCGCCTTCAGAACTCCCCCATGTCGGGTCATGAGTTGCGGTTTTGTGTTGAGGTCCAGTGGCCTTACAAACGCTATCGTGGGGGCTGTTTCGGATGCGATCTCTTTGGCCAGGCTTGAAGCTGCGATTTCAATTAAACAACATGTCGGACTATGGCCGATTCTGGCTCAGGGGCTCTGGGGCCCATGCACTTGAAATGGTTGATTACCAGGTGGTGGGCAGGATAAACGGAACAAGGTAGATCTCAGTTCCGAAGTAAATTAAAGGAGCATCTGAATTTGGGGTTCCTGGAGGCTTTCCCAAGAAGATGGAGTTTCAAAGGAATGTCATTTGAGTTTCAATGGAATTTAATTGATGCATTGGAAGGATATTTGCATGCTGGAAACAGTTGGAGTGGGCAGGTCTGGTCTCCAATGAAATTACAATGCAAAATCTAGTGCCCCATTCTGCAGGGAAAGACTGTGGAATGTAGCTAGCATATCCATTGACAGCCGTAGGGGAAAGACGAGATCATCACTGGCGAGGTCCAGGGAATTTGTTTCTGGAAACTGGGAGCACTTTCAACATCACAGAGATATCGTTGGAGTTCTGCCGAACCACATGTTGAAGCTACCTTGTTTGAAACACGGTTTTTGTGAGACGGCCGCACTGCACCTTTGGGGTCAACTGAAATGGAACTCACCTGTTTGGCCATGTTAAAATGATCTTTAAACGTGAACTTTGATGGATCCCAAGAACTGAAGAGTTGCTGTTTGACCCCCCCCCCAGTATTTCCCAGCTGGTTATAGAGGACCGATGTCACGGCCGTGAGGTGTGGTTCCAGCAGGCCATCCAGGGCTTGGCGTTGACCACCTTCTTCGGCCCGTTCGGCCCAGAATCGCCCACGCTGGGCTTTAATTTAAGACATGCGCCAATGCCGGACATGAGGTTTATAGCTTGAGCTGAAATATACCATGTCCCCAGAGATGGAATCCGATCTTTGTTCCGTAATTATTATCATACTTATCAGGAACGTTGTCGCGAACATTTGGTCATTGTATAATATTAACTATCACTAGTATGATGGTTCGCGCTCATTGTGATTCGAAATGTTGGCATGGTCAGTATTTAGTATCATATGTATCAATATGTATCATATTTGTTTTGTGTGAGGATTATTGTTGTTGTTGTACCTGGTCATGAACCCTTAAATCTGGGTATGTGACTGCTGTTTGAAGGGTCATACAGACTCAAGGTCAGGTGTATATTGTATAATAGTATATATTTTTATAGATTATATTTATGTATATATATATACACAGGTAAAATATTAGTGGGTGTGTTTGCCGAAGATGAGCGAAAGGCACACCGCCTCCCGGCTTGGTTATCCGTGGCAAATCGGAATGAGCCTTCAAAGGATTAAGTTCAGCGGGCAGGGCTCCCCAGCATTTTTTTCCCGGAAAGGGTCCATACGGCAACTAAGGCAGGGACCACATCTCAAACTTCAAGCCCCATGACGCTCATCATGTGCAGAAGGCCCCATTCATCCTAAGTGCCGTCACCAGGTTAGATGAAAATAATCCCGAATTCCGACCCGCGCCCAGCCCGTAATCTCTCATGTTGTGCTTGTGGCGTAGCAAGGCCTTCCGAATGCGGATGATGTCACCACATTCCATTGGTTTCAAGAGCTATCTCTTTGCTTTGGAGGGACCCCTTGGGATCCTCTAAGACAACATGTTTTCACACTTTTGCACTGTAGGGCCAAGCAATATCGCCCCCGGATCGTCAACTCAGGAAAAAAACATGTGAAGGCCAACATGGGCGCTTGAGCCATCGGAACTTAGAACTTTAGACAGTGTTGACAGTGTTGCCGTCAATGTGAGACATTGACCATGGCTAGCTAGACTGCTGATCATTTCTTCGGGGACGCCGGACCTGCCTCGGATGTGAAGCCAGCCCAGTTCGCCCTTTGTCACTTCAGTCTTTGCATTTCGACCGAGGCCAGCTTGGCCTGAGGTCTCCTCCAAAACTATTTCACGTTTTAGGATGTTTTTATGCGACACAGAATCTGAAACGTATCATTTTCGGTGGGCCAATAGCTCGATTCCCCGATTCGGTGCTCGGCAAAGTGAGGTCTCCCGTGGCTCTTCTACTTGCTGGCGCCCTCCATGGACCTCCAGGGCTTCAAAGCCTTGGCTCGGGACCCTGTCCGGGAGTCGTTCAAACGACGTCAGCGCGGGGCTGGCACGGGCGCCAGTCCGCAAGTCAGCGATCGCAAAATCCTAGTGGCAAAGAACGAGGTTGGGGAAATTGGAAGACGTTCCACTCAGGAATTGAGTAGCTCGTGTGGAGTTAGGATATGAAGTTTGGTCTAGGATGTGATGTTTGGTCGGGTTTCGGGTAGCAGGCGGTAAATGTGGGAGGAACATGAAGACTCTGTTACATTTCCCATCAAAGCGCGCGCGCTCACTGTTGCTAGTGTCGATGGAACTGTATGTTTTGGTCGGGTTTCTGGTAGTAGGCGGTAAATGTGGGAGGAACATGAAGACTCTGTTAAATGTCCCATCAAAGCGCGCGCGCTCACTGTTGCTAGTGTCGATGGAACTGTATGTGTTGATTGTGGCTTGTACAGTCTATCTTACGATTGAACATCAAGCACACAAAACAGTCATAGATGCATTCATGACAGCAGGAATGTACGATCTTTTGGAGGCCGATATTCTGCAGGGCATCCAGCCAGTCTTGTCCACAATGCAGGTATTCTCGCAGGACCGAAGCCCTCGTGGTGCTGGCAAGCCTGTCACCAACAACGACGGCCTTCCTTCCCTTGTATTTCTGACTGGCAGAATATCTGTTCTGCAGGGTACGACGGGCGCGCCATGTTGTGAGGGCGCCTTGTCAAAGATGATTCAACTGGAAGCGAGCATTTGAAGAGTTGCCCCGTTTCGGGACGTACCCAACTCAATTGGTGTCCGAAGGTCAACATTGATTGTTGGCACTGCTTTAGGTGCTGAGTGTTCCCTTGCTTCTCAATGCGGGAGAGCACGGGGATGGGGTTCACCCATTTCCAGACACCCGGGGCCCCGCATGTTGGCGCACGTCTGGATTTGTGCCAAAATCAGACTAGGGGGGCAGGACTGGGTGGTTTCTTGGGGCCTGACCGCCCGCTGACAAGAAAACGCTGCGCCCTCGGTTGCACTGAACCAGTCTGCAAGGCAAAAGCAAAAGAAAAGCAAAAACATGCAAAAACAAAAGCCAATCCCAAAACCGAATCCCAAGACCAGTCCCGAAAACCAATCCCAACACCAATCCCAAAGCAAAAACTAAAACCAAAAAAACAACGAAAAGGGCTACTCTCAACAAAAAGACCCGCTCAGAACCGGCACCGCACCGCCTTCAAGGCCTCCCACGCCTGGGGGTCTTGGACCATCAACGGCCTCATCGGGGCCATGCTGGGGCCCCGCTGGATGGGCGTAGCGGCGAAGGGGTTGGGCTGTAAACCGACTCAAGGGGCATCAACCCGCCCTGTTCTTTTTTTTTCCTGGCGGATGACTATAGCCCATGTTTAATTTACCTAAGCCAAAACAGGGATTCGTCATCTTCCCCCGACCCCCCCCCGTTCCGACCCCCCCCTCCCGATCGAGGGCATTTTTGGTTCGCCGTCAGGTGCTGCTGCACTGCGATCTTGGCCTTCCTCGCCGCGCTGCTCAACGAGGCCTTCAGCTCCAGCTCCCAGCTGCCACTCGGCTCAAAAGAGACTCGAAGGACGAAATGGATTTCTGGTGGACCTCCCCAAAAAAGGGAGGTGGGGTTACTGGGAAACACTAAAAGAACATGTTGTGTTTTGGATTTTAACGGGAAACGTGAAGAAAAACACGTTTTGTTGCATTCACCGATTTTTAGAAGTATATATATATATATATCCCGTTTTGGTGATCTTGAACATCCGTAGCCATTTTGGCTCAAGCACAGGCTCAAACACGGTGACATGGGGAGCCTTGTAGGTAATGTGCCATCTCTGAACGCAGCTGGCTTTCATGCTCTTCTGAGGCAAGCAGGGGCATGGCTAAGCAAGGTAGACGCAGTTGTGAGAAATGCCTTCCTTAGCGAAAGCCACTGGCTACATGGAGATTTCTGTCCGCTTGAGGGTGCGTTCTGGGAAGACCTGAGGCCTCAGTTGGGAGACATAGTGGACGTTGCCCTGAACTCAAGAGGCAATTCCAAGGACTTGCTTCTTAGCCAGTTGTGCAACTGCGGGAAGCTTAGGTCATGCGTTTCGGAAGTCGAAGACTACCGCTTGAGAAGTGAGATTTGCTCAAGCCTGACGAGAGAGGTACTGCCTGACAAAGTCAAGATAGACCAACCGGCCCTCTTTGACTTGCTCTTGAATGTATGGAGGTGGGAAGAGAAAAAGGAAGAAGAAGCTCGTGACCTGAGAGGCTTTGAGGTAGCGTCCAAAGTTATGGGAACCAGAGCGGGATTGGAGGAAGCAACGAGAATAGTCAGAGACATCTCTTGCGAAGTCAACAAAGGAGACAAGACCTCTCGGGCCCTTGCAAGCCTATCTTCGGCTGCTCGCTTTTGTTGCAAGGCATTGTCTCTTCTGGTCGCACAAAGTGCGAACTTGCGTGCAGGCCTGAGAAGAGCGGAAGAATTTTGGGTTGACTTGACCCAGCCTCGCCAACACGTAGACATGATCTTCAAAGGAAAAACAGAAGCCTTGGAGAGAGTGCAGTCTCGCATCTGGGGAAGAGTTCTTCCTAAAGGAGGTATGGCCATTCTTTTCTATGACAAGCCTAGCAGGCCAGGTCGAGGTGGAACCTTATATGCGGTTTCTATTCCTCTTTTCAATGAATGGGCAGATGCAATTGCCACAATTGGAGGCTCAGACATGTGCGGAGTAGGAGTTTACCCTTCGGTTCCGTTGGACCAAGTTGACAGGATGAAGTTTCACTACCTTGAGTCTTTGTCTAAGTTGGTGTTTGAAGTGGCCAGCAAATCAACAAACCATGGTGCAGTATCTGTGGCACGAAGGGGTCACTTGATATGGTTTGCGGCGTTCACCACACTCGACCCCTTTGCGAAGACCGAGCCTCAACTTCTAGAGGTCAAATCGGAGATCGATGAAAATCTAGGAGAAGTCAACAAAGCATGCATTCAGGTGAACGTGAGCAAAGGCCAAGGCAGCAGGCGCCTTCGCACACCATGCCGGATATGTCAGAGGGCGTACCGGATATGCCCTTCGTGTCCCATTCGGGGAGCATGAAAAAGCACACAAGGCGCTATTTCCACAAGTGCCTTACAGGCTTTTCCTCCCTTTCCACCCCTTTCCCCCCATAAGGCCTTTTCCACACCTGAGATCTTTTCCCTTTCGTTCCTGAGATCTTTCCCCCCCTTTCCCTGTTGAGACCCTGTCCCCCCCTTTCCCCCCTAAGGCCTTTCCCCCCGCTTTTCCCTCGCTGAGATCTTCTCCCTATTCCTCCCCAAGATCCTTTGCCCCCTTTCCCTGTTGAGATCCTTTCCCCCCTAGGGCCTTTCCAGATCTTCTCCCTTTTTCTTCCTAAGGTTGTTTCCCCCCTTTCCCTGTTGAGATCCTTCCCACCCTTTCCCCCCCTAAGGCCTTTCCCCGCCTGAGAGCTTCTCCCTTTTCCTTCCTAAGATCTTCCCCCCCGTTCCTTGCTGGCCTTTTTTTCCCCAGATCTTCTCCCTTTCCTCCCTAAGATCTTTTCCACCCCTTTCCTTGTAGAGATCATTTCTCCCCTTTCCCCCCTAAGGCCTTTGCCCCAGATCTTCTCCCTTTCCTCCCTAAGATCTTTCCCCCCCTTTCCCTGCTCCCCTTTCCCCCCTACGCCCTTTCCCCCCCTGAGATCTTCTCCCTTTTCCTCCCTAAGATCTTTTGCCACCTTCTTGTTGAGATCCTTTCCCCCCTTTCCCCCTAAGGCCTTTTTTTCCCTTCTTAGATCTTTTCCTTCCTAAGATCTTTTCCCCCCTTTTCTTGTTGAGATCCTTTCCCCCCCTTTCCCCCCTAAGGCCTTTTCCCCCCCAAAGTCCTCCCCAAGATCCTTTGCCCCCTTTCCCTGTTGAGATCCTTTCCCCCTTTCCCCCCTAAGGCCTTTCCCCCCCTGAGATCTTAAGGCCTTTTCCCCCCCTGAGATCTTCTCGCTTTTCGATCCTTTCCCCCTTTCCCCCCTAAGGCCCTTCCCCCCCCCCCCCCCCCCCCCGAGATCATCTCCCTTTTCCTCCCTAAGATGTTTTCCCCCCTCTCCCTGTTGAGATCCTTTCCCCCTTTCCCATTATAAGGCCTTGTCCCCCCTGAGATCTTCTCCCTTTTCCTCCCTTTCCCCCCCTTTCCCCTCTAAGGCCCTTTCCACACCTGAGATCTTTGCCCTTTCGTCCCTGAGATCTTTCCCCCCCTTTCCCTGTTGAGACCCCCCCCTTTCCCCCCTAAGCCCTTTCCCCCCCTGAGATCTTCTCCCTTTTCCTCCCCAAGATCTTTTGCCACCCTCTTGTTGAGATCCTTTCCCCCCTTTCCCCCTAAGGCCTTTTTTTCCCTTCTTAGATCTTTTCCTTCCTAAGATCTTTTCCCCCCTTTTCTTGTTGAGATCCTTTCCCCCCCTTTCCCCCCTAAGGCCTTTTCCCCCCCAAGATCTTCTCCCTTTTCCTCCCTAAGATGCTTTTCCCCCCATTCCCTGTTGAGATCCTGTCCCCCCTTTCCCCCCTAAGGCCTTTTCCCCCCTGAGATCTTCTCTCTTTTCCTCCCTTTCCCCTGTAAGGCCTTTTCCTTCCTGAGATCTTTTCCCTTTCCTCCCTGAGATCTTTCCCCCCCTTTCCCTGTTGAGATCCTTTCCCCCCTTTCCCCCATAAGGCCTTTCCCCCCGCTGAGATCGTCTCCCTATTCCTCCCTAAGATTCTTTGCCCCCTTTCCCTGGTGAGATCCTTTCCCCCCTAAGGCCTTTCCAGATCTTCTCCCTTTTCCTTCCTAAGATTGTTTCCCCCCTTTCCCTGTTGAGATCCTTCCCACCCTTTCCCCCCTAAGGCCTTTCCCCGCCTGAGAGCTTCTCCCTTTTCCTTCCTAAGATCTTCCCCCCCCCATTCCCTGTTGGACTTTTTTCCCCGAGATCTTCTCCCTTTCCTCCCTAAGATCTTTTCCACCCCTTTCCCTGCTGAGATCCCTTTCCCCCCTGTCCCCCCTAAGGCCTTTTCCCACTCTGAGTTCTTCTCCCTTTTCCTCCCTAAGGTCTTTTCCCCCCTTTCCCGCGTAAGATCCTTTCCCGCGTTTCCCCCCTAAGGCCTTTTCCCTCCAAGATCTCCACCCTTCTCTTCCCAAAGTCTTTTTCCTCCTTTCCCGTTTGAGATCCTGTCCCCCCATTGCCCCCTAGGGCCTGTTCCCCCCGAGAAAGATTTCCATTTTCCTCCCAAAGATCTTTTCCCCCCTTTCCCCCCCAAGGCATTTTTTCCCCAGATCTTCTCCCTTTCCTCCCTGAGATCTTTCCCCCCCTTTCCCTGTTGAGATCCTTTCCCCCCATTTCCCCCCTTCATTTCCAGATGTTCCTCCACCAGCATGGGCAACATCCCCAGCATCACTTGCATCATCCGCATCCTTGGCAGGCGCTGATGCGGATGATGCAGGTGATGCTGGCGATGTGCCGCTGGAGCTGCTAAGGATGCGCTGCGGACCCGGGGGGAATCGAACACCCCAATGTTTCTGACAAACTGAGTTGCGCAAGCCCGCACAATGAACAGATTTAGTGAAGCGTCTTCAAATCACCGCGCGGTACGTGGAGACCCCCCCCCGCAATAGTCTGAAATGGTGCCCCTGGGGAGGGGTTAGGGGAGGGGTAACAGGTAAAGAGGTAAGGAGCATTTTTTATGTCCAACACGCCGTCTGTTGTCGGCGGACTTAAGAGCGGAGAAAGCTATCAAAGAAGCTCACACTTTGTTAGGAAAAATATCACGGTTGCAAGTAAGTGAATTAACCGAAAAAGAGGACCTGGTGCAAAGTGACCCGGTTGTTAAACTATGTGGCAGTGTCCATAGCACTTGGCCCACACGTAAGTTGCCAGAGTTTGATGAACAATGCCGTGACGAAGCGTTTTTGGGAATTGCGTATATGCTTAGGCTGTATCACTGGGTCTCCAGTCTTTGCTGGGCACCTCACGTCCAGGAAGATGAATGGGGTGTTTCATGGATTGAGCTGTTTCTCAGCTCTCAAATGAGCACTGAGTCGGATATCCCAGTGAACCTTGGCACTGATGATCGACCACTCTTCACATTGCCAGAGCACAATGAAGCGGTGGAACTCATTAAGCCGACTACGCATAAGCGTATGATTAGCTTTGAGAAAAGTTTGCGGGCCTTGGGAAAATATTGGGGGTCGAATTATTCCCTTGCAACACTTGCAGCAGACCTCAAAGCCTCCGGGCCCTCGGTTTCTTCCAGGCACGACCCGGTCTTCAGAAAAGGCCGTGGTTCCCTTTCCACGAAGACATAACGCAAGCACTTCGCAACAAGGCAGGTTGCCCTGTCATCATTGGGGACCTGCCCACTTTGGTTGCAGACATTCGCATGATTTCCAGTCGAGTCACAGTGGACGAGACGGAGGTTTCACAAAGAGCGCCTTCGGGCGCCGCGCTAAGGAGAACGGACTCGGGCTGCACTCACACGTGGGGTGCAGTCCGAAGAAAGAGACCGGTGATCTTGAACATCACCTTTCGATTGCCAACTTATGATGATCCTGCTGGGGTGATACTGGGGTCGGTGAGCCGATCTAGATACGTCGGCCTTTTTGGAGCGGTTTCAAGAGATCGTTTTGGGAACCGGAATGACATCGATCCCGGGCCCTTGGAAGGGACTTGTTCAGGGTTCCTTGAGAAACAGCCAGTATCCTCAGAGAATCCCCACCAGCATGGGGGAGCCGATGCAAAGGGCGTCTTATCAGTGTTCAATAACACACACGATCAAGATTGCGCCAGTCCTTGTGCAATCATGTTTGCATCAACCTTTCCATCCATTTGTTTATCTTCACGGAGCATCGTCTAAGCAACCATGGTATCAACCGTCATTTCGTTTTGTTGCCCGGAGGTCTTGCCTGGCAATTCAGCTGGAGCGACGGGATCGGTCCTTGTTTGTTCCTGCCCCACCCCCCCACCCCCGAGCAAGGGCTCCCAATATTTCCCGGTTGAACATCATCTTCAAGTTGGCAACCAAACGCCAAAAAGAAAGTATGGCTATGAACTTCATAGAATTCAATACCCATGTTTTTTGATGTTACCATTTGCTTGTGTTTTTGCAGGAGATCCACAAGCAAAGCCACCGTTTTGGGTGGGTACCCCAAAAAAGGACATGTGTGAGTGTGTATATATATATATAATAGGCTATCATATACGGACACCCCCACCCCACCCCCCCACCCCCTCCCGAGGGCCTCGCGCACAGTGGCTTTGATGCTGAGCCTCGCGGTGCTCTTGCGCGGGGGCTTTCGGGGCTACCGCTGGCCGGGAAGCCCAGAGACGCTCACGGGGGGATATTTGTTGAGTGCTGTGGTTTTGAAGTGGTCTCTTCCAACGTGTCTTCGTTGGGTAGACGAGTAGACGAGAGAAACATGTGTGTTTGTTTTTGGTTTTTTTGTGAGATAGTATCCCTTGCTGGGGGGGCAAGGTTGCAAGAGAAAAAAGAAGCCACCGACTTTCGGGGTACGGCAGCCGGGAACTGGGACTCTGGCAGGTGAATCGGTCCCTCAGGGGACTGAACCCAAATGATTGTTTCTATGTGAGGGCTTGGAAAAAATGAGTAAATAAAAAAATGTAGGGTCGAGGGTAGCAGGGAAGCATTGGTGTCGAGCACGGATTGATCAACCTGGAGTCATTGAGGGGTGTTCCCCCGAAAAGGTAAGCATTGGGAGAGTCTTTTAGAGGTGGAGAAATGATATGGCTTTTGTGGCTGAAATCTCGTGAGTCCCCCCCCCCCGCCACCAACATCCTGAACTCCGAATTGACCATGGACAAATTTAGAATGTGAGGCATTGACTGACAATTGTCTACTCTTCTGATAGTTGAGAACGCGAGGGGGTGCCGGGCCTCAAATTCTATCACAAAAACCAGGGTCACCGACGATCGGTCGGATGTGACCATTGTTAATCTGCTGAAATTAAATGTTTCCTTGATATGTCCTGCCAAATAGAAACCATTTGTTCAAGTATCCGAGGAAAATGGGTTAGCATGCGTTCGTTTTGAATTTAGGGACGGTGTCCTTTGATTTCCCTTCAAGAAACACACCCATATAGTGAGTAACAATCAGCTCCACCCGAACTTGCGCCAACGGTAATTCCCAGTTTCTTGGGGGTATGCTAACCGATTGTGACTCACTAGCCTCATGAAGGCCACTGGTTATCGGTGTGGGTAGGGGCCTTCATGTCTTGCTCAATCCGATGAGAATCCGACGGTTGCATTTGAATGCTTGGGGGTCCACTCATGGAACCGCAGGAATTGAGGAATCTGAGAAATGGACCTTCTTGGGTCCCTGCTCCCGAAGGAGTTGCTGGTTACTTTCGGCTGGGTTCGGACCATTTTGCTAAAGTGTGCCTGGCCAATCTACACAGATGATAGCGAGCCCGAAACAAATGGTGGCTCCTGCTTACCGGGGTTGGTCGCATAGTCAAAGCAACCAGACCCTGGCCCCCAATGGGAAGCCAACAGGTTCTCAAGACAGTTGTTGAAAAGGGCTATCGCCCCAGCCAGTGATACCAAAACAAAGCCAAGTGCTGAAGCCTAGGGAGTCTGCGAAGGTCTCCAGTTTCTTGGCTCAGGCTTGGCTGGGTGGCCTGGTTCACGATCATGGGCACCCTAGGCCACAGGACGGACTGGGGAGCGAGTTGTTCGAAGACGGAACCTGCAAACCTTGGTTGGATTGCTTGGGTCAAAGGTTCCAGAGTACCCGGTACGGCTCTCTTCCGGTTTGCGGCCTTCGATTTTGTGAGTATTGCACCTAAATGATGGCAATTTAGGGGTAACGACCTAAAAGATATGACTCAAGCCGTTGGGCCTTTCCCCATGTTTAAGAGAAACAAAGCAGTGCCTTGGGCCAAGAGTGGGTGGCGTCCTTTTGGTGCCCAAAAAGCTGAAGCCGGGACCGGCCAGGTCATGTTTACTGTAAGGGGGCAAACGCTGCAGTTGGTTTGATTTTCCTGTCCCCTCAGAGAGATCGTGCAAAAGGATATTTTTGGCATACCTTTTCGGCCGCAATAAAGGGACCCTCAAGGCAGACATTCTCCTGAAAGGGTGAATGCCGAACGTCACAGAACCACTCGCCCCAAAACTAGTCTAGCGGGATTTCTTTAGTATCAGAGAAAGGTAGCCCTGAAACCTGGTTTTCCACAACCCTGCTTTATTCGAGGGCTGTGCATTTAACGCATGCCTGGGAAACATCCCCACCCCTTAGCTGGCTGAGAGGCGTGGGTTTTGTTCCCCCCCCCTCCCTTTTTGCCAAGCAACCGGTGCGTCCAACACATTTTAGGACGCTTGGGTTTTGAGGCTGTCGCCGACCGCCAGGAATATAGCAGTGCTGAATGACTTGCAGAAGAAGGGGCAGCTGGCACACCCGGCATGTTTCAACAAACTTTGGGGCCAGCTTCAAGTGTCTTACCCCAAATGAGCTCCGTTCCACCCCTGCCCCCGCGTGTATTGGGATGCGACCCAAAACTTAGCCGCGTGTTTGGGGGGCGGCCTTCAGGGTTGTTGGGATACATGTTCTGTTTTGCAGCGGTATTTTTAAGTTTGTTTGTTTTCAGATTTTGTGTGAAGTGTGCACTCAATACATTGAATATGGATAGCGCTTGAATATCTTGTGTTGTGCTAGTCTCATGTGGCGTGACTTTTGGCAGATATACCTCGATAAAGATCATGCTGTTTTCAGAGTTTAGGGTTCTGGGTTGCCGGGTTAATGCTTCGTGGGGATACTCGATACATACTTCACTCTCATTATCCCAGTTAATCCCCTGAAATTACTGGGGTCTCCTCCAGGCATAGTTTATCATATGTTGCGGGCGACTAAATACGGAGCAGAGTCCGAAAATGTTCTCGGGGTAGCCCAGATGTGGGCGCTGAATTCGTTGGTTTGGGAAACCACTGCGCGCCAGGGCCAGGTTCGGTCCCAGAAGATCGCCGTGCCAGGCACTCAGGCAACGAAGGGACGGTGGTTTTCCGTCAGCTGGCTGGCTTGCCCTTGCTTTGTCTTCTATTTGCTGAAGTTGAGCTGATTTTCCCCTCTGGGTTTTGAAGGGAATCTATCACTACTGAAATATGCCTTCTTTTTCCCCATGGGACTTCTGGACAATTGCCAACATGGTTGAGCTAGTGGGAATGTGTTGTCGCTATTCTTCTCATTTTTCAATTACATGCCTCTTGTGCGTACAGCAGCGCAGGCTGCAGGAGACGGAAGCGACACGCCCCACAATCGTGGCGCCGATCAAGGCAGCCCAGGTCAGTGACTAGGTCCCCCAGTAGTACCCTTTTACCCTTTTTTGGGGGAGGGTTCCCCTACTAAAATAGACTACAGAAAAAAAGGGTGCCCTTTTTCTAACCTTTCTACTGGAGGACCTAGGCGAGATGATTCCGCGGACCTGGAAGAAGGCGTCTCAATCGTGTTGCACACCTGAGCTGCTCTCGGACTTGTTGAAACCAAAGCCTTTGGCTTAAAGGCTATCTTTTGGTTTTTCTTCTGTAAACCCCCTTGTTGGAGGGGGAACAAGTTTTGACTGTCTCAGCTTGCTACCGTGAAACCCAAGTGCGCCCCAGACAGCACAGCTCCAAGTGTTTCCTCAGCGTGTCATGATTGCAGCGCGAGCTGAGGAGGCAAGTTCCCTTGACTCCTCTTTTTCTGTGTTCAGCCGCGCAAATGTGCTGCGATATCTCTACCCATCACAACTTTCATGACTTGTCGCAGCAAAGCCGCAGAAAACAAAGAGAGAGAGAGAGAGAGAGAGAGACAGAGAGAGAAAGAGAGAGGGAGAGACACACACACACACACAAACACACGCCAGGTCTCATCGGCTCCGGAATTTTAGTTCGGTCTGGAACCCAGCCGAGGCGAGCTGCATGGGAGATGTTCTACCTAGTCCTCGGCGCCTTGGCCTGGCAGGCGCTCAGTTTCTTGCCGGATGTCGTAACTGGTACTTCCATATGCTTAAGAATATGTGTTATTTTCCCCTGTTGGTTTTAACGGGAATCTATCTATACTGGAAGTATTGTTTCTTTATTTTTCTTCCAGGGGACTTATGCAGTTGGATGGGTATAGTGACCCCGATACCTGCAAGTTATGTGTTGAAAGGACGGGTACGGGTTCTCTCCGTGCATGTCCCCTTGGTGTGCGTGAAACAACAATAGAAGGAGCGGGGGTCTATATCGTTCTCTCTACTACATCTGGGTTGTCAAGCACCCCCATAGCAATAAAGGGCCGCAAGCGCCTCAGGGTCTTACGCATAGCTGTGAAAAGGGGGGGATCAGGCGGCGCTTCAAAGTGAGTTGTCCCATTTCCCATCACGGTCTTATACGTACAATATATATATATATATATATTTGTACATATATATATATATATATATAGGGTTGTTGATCGTACCAGAATGCCCCTGGCCCATTGGACTCCCTTCGAACGGAGAGCGGCACCGGGCTGTGCAGCAGTGCCCATGTTTGCAACCTCCTTCTACTGATGATGACCCCAAAAGGGCCTCCTTCCTCATGGCCATTGAGCGACTGAGAGTGATCCACGAAACAAACATTATGATTGATAGCATCAGTCGCGTAAACTCCAACGCGGCACTGAGCGACAGAGACATTTCACATCATGTTTTACGTCCCCAGTTCGAGATGTGCTTTTCCTGGCATCTCCTGAATCTTGTCTAAGTAGCACGCCAACCAAATTGGCTGCTTGCAGATTCGCCTCAGTTGTTGCAAGGAAAACCAAAGCAGAAAGAGCAACTAAACAGTCCTGCTGGTTGTCTTTTGCTTGATCTTCTGGTTGTCTCCTTTCAGACATTGTGCGAAAAAGATCCCTAGAGTTGAGAAGTGTCCAATTGTTGCCTCCAAAGATAGGTCATGAATATGTAGATTGTCCATCGCTGCCGCCTGTGTGTGTGTGTAAGAGAGAAAGAAAGAGAGAGAGAGCGAGAGAGAGAGAGATGGTACTGTATGCTCCAAGCGACTCTCACTGATGCCCAAGTCAAAGAAAGACAGCACGCTTTCCACTATGTGTCGCAGTTTCTGCGCCGCCTACTCTTTACCACAAGGCCCAAGGAATACGAGATCAGGCCAAACGTGTTTGGCACATATCGCGTGAAGGCAGTCATGAGGCGAGGCCAAACAAACTCTAATGCATGGGTGCGTGTGTGCGTGCTTTTGTTGAGAACCCCGGCCTGTGCAAGCCAACCTTTTTGAGATCCCACGTGCCCAAACGAGGTCGGCCAGACCGTATGGTGTGGGGAAGCTTGGTGGGTGTGCAGGTTCTTCAGGGCAGTTTGAAGATGTGGATCAACGCTCTGATGCCGCAGGCGCGACGGGGGGACGCTAAGCCACTGCCAAGTTTCTCATTTCTGGCCGTTTCTGGCGGGGCATGATGTCAAGCTCTTTGACGACAACAGGAGGTTTTACCTGTGAAGACCTGATTTTAAAGAAGATATGGGTGATCGCTAGGAGGTTTACTGGGGCAACTCGCCCGAAGATGATTCGCGGAAGGGCGGGCGGGGAGATCTTTTGTTTTGCAGGTACAGCTGGAGTCAAAAGGTTGCTCTGTTTGAAACATGGACCAAGCATTGCGATGAATGCTCAGCCGACCTGCGCAGAGTGGTCGCGTGGAGGTGATTGCAAATGCTGGCTGAGCGGCCACCTTTGAGATCTTATTGGTTCATTGGACTGATCCAACGGGCTATACGCCTCAGCATAGCAACCCTACAAAGTATTCTTCCCGGCGAAAAGAGAAGTTTTCCAAATTAGAAAAGTTTGAGTATGACCCTAGGGGAAACCCTCAAGAAATGCTGCGGCTAACCCATCTTTGCTAAATAGCTGATTCTTAGTCGTTTCTTTTGTTTGGTTTCCTTTGAAGTCTAGTCTCCATTCCATGTTCATTTCAAGTCCATTCCATTCCTTCATTTTCCCACTTTGAATTTCCATGCCTGCCTTCAGCGCCATTCCCATCTGATTTAAAGTTTGGTGCCGTTTGAGGACCCCCCCCCCTCAGGTTGGAGGTGTTCCGCCGTGCTTGTTTCCGAACACTTGGTTTTGCAAGTGTTTGTTTCGTGAATGTTTGGTCAGCCACTCTGCAGGTTCAATCCGTCTTCGTTATATCACGCAGGGTTCAGGCCACTTGAAACCTCTTGTCAACAGGAGCTCCAGTTCTATGCCCCGTGGCTACCCTTTTTCGAGCTGGGGGAGGATGTGGATGTGGGCTGGGGCCCAAGAGCGTAAGAACCCGGCGGATCCCCCGAGTTGAGTCGGCAAACCCGTGCCACTTTTTGGAGTTAAGTTTTGCTTTTAGTTGTCCAGCATTTTCTGGCCAGTGAACTGAGTAGATTTTAAGTGAGGTTGAGCAACTTGACAGTTGCAGTGACGCCCCCTCCCACTAACGCGGAAGCTGACCGAAGGTGCCCTGAAAAGGAAACATGAAGACCTCCAGAGAATGTGTTTGGCCAGATCGTCATAGCAGGTCAGCCCAGCACAGTACAGTGTTATTGGGAACAAAGGCCTCACTTTAAACGGAATAGGCAGGGCAACTCGACCACCGGCATTTTTGGGGGTGTTTGAATTGAACAGACCTTCGTGCGGTTTCCCTGTTGGGCCAGCCTTTCTTGTGTGGACCTGCTGTCCGGCAGCGTTCCGAGATCGTGTGCACGTCAGCAGGTGGCCGCCTTGCTGACCATAGCTTTTCTGCGTCCTTGATTAGTACGGGCCTGCAGACCAATCCGAAGCCAACATTATCTTGAGCGCCCTTTGCCTTTTGCTACTTGGTCAACCGTGGCTTAACACTAACAATGTGCATGGGGGTAAAGGGTAGCCTTTGCAAAGATCACTCTTGACCTGTTGACACTCGCGCATATTTATTTGGGTGTGACAAGGCCCCCCACATCATTGACTCGGAGTTTATGAATCTGACTGAGCCTCTCGCATTGCTATCACCAGCTAAATATCTACATTGTCTTGTCTCAAGGGATTCCAGGTTCTTTCCTTCCCCAGAATTAGCTCCCCTTTTTGCTTTTTTTTTTATTGGGGGGGGGTCCCTTTGTTTTCCACTACCCAGGCAAAACATATTTTTTGCTGGGGTTCTAATTCCAGCCTAGTTTCTGGGCTTGTATTCTTTGCTGGGCTCCTTTTTGTTGACGCCCCCTTTTCGGGTTCCTTGGGAGCCCTGTGATCCCAGGAGTGGCGGCCTACTTTGCGCCCAAGGAAGCGGTGACCTCTAAGGAGAGGGCTGACCGGATCGATGGGGCCCTTTTCAGCGTGGAAAGGGGCAACCAAGAGGAAGACCGACATCCAGTTTGGGGGTAAATCCTCCATTTTTGAGACAGAACCAGATTTTGGTGGTCGGGGCTATCAAC